CCCGGGGTGGCTGGGAGTTGCTACCCAACCCCTGTCCCCTAGGGACCCTTAGGAAAGGGTCTGCTTCCTCTGCCAGCATTTGCCTCCTAAGACTTTCTTAGACTACCAGAGTCTGCTCTGCCCACCTGCACACCAGGCCAATCCCACTGAGAAATGACACCCCAGAGGCCCTCAGCCAGTGACTGATGCCCCTGGTGGATAAAGACTTCAGCTTCCTTGCCCAGCCCTCTGACGGGGTAGCTAAAGCACAAGTTCTAGACTTGCTTCCAGGGCTCCCTGGGGGCTGAGTTACAGCTGCCTACAGTGGTACCTCCCAGGTAATGCACCCAGTAGGGCTGCCTTTCCTCCTCTGGTCACTCCACACCCCCACCAAGTTTTCCTGTAATCACCTCCCACATAAAGTATTTGCATTGGAATCCTTGTCTCAGGTTCTGCTTCTGGGGAAACCCAGATAAAACACTTGCCTCTCCAGACCTCCCAGGCTCTCCTGCCTCATTTCTTTCTTCTACATAACAGATTCCTATCAATAGACACCCTTGCAATTTCTCCCCACACTGCAGTGAGGGTCTTGGGCAATCCCTCTTTGGAGACCACAGAATCAGGGACCTTAGCCTTCATTTACATCCCTGCCTCTAAGCTAATGTAGGAACACAGGTCTGCTCCCAGGGTGCCCCAGCAGGCCTCTCCATGGCCTGGGTCTATCATTTGAGTTATTTGAGCGTATTTCTATATTTCTTTCCATTCTTTAATCTTGGTTTGTTTTCTCATTACAAGAGCATCAGCTCTTCCCAAGGGGAGAAGAGCAACAGTCTCCCCCTCCCTCCATCTCCCTTTGGGGCTTGCAGCTCTGCTCAGGGATGCCGATTGGTCACCTGCTGCACGGGCAGGGAGGCAGTGCAGCTACCTGGGGGAACCAGGAGAAGGAAGGCACAGTCCAGACTGACCTGCATCCTGCACTTAGCCGCTATGCTAATTCTCATGTCATTCTCTGTGTTCATAGGAAATGTGAGGATATTTCTGTTTGTTTGTTTGTTTTTAAAGGGATGACACGTAGGCGTCCTTTTTTTAAAATTTTTATTTATTTGTTTGTTTTTTGCCTGCTCTATATCTTTGTTGCTGCTCTTGGGCTTTCTCTATTTGCGACAAGCAGGTCTTCAGTTGCAGTGCTCAGGCTTATTGTGATGGCTTCTCTCGTTGCGGAGCAGAGACTCTAGAGTGCCCGGACTTCCATAGTTGCAGCACATGGGCTCAGTAGTTGTGGTGCACAGGCTGAGTTGCTCTATGGCTTGTGGGATCTTCCTGGACCGAGGATTGAACCCATGTTCCCTGCATTGACAAGTAGATGCTTTACCACTGGAACACCAGGAATGTCCCATAAGGATTTTTTTAAACCAAAGTCCTTTCTATTTCACCTTGGTCTTCTCACTTGTCTCGCAGGGGTATGAACAGAGTAAACTGGAGACATTTGCAGACCAGGAGCAGTCCTGGATGTGCAAGCAGGGGTCTTGCCCATTCTGCCATCCTCTCTTGGTCTGCTGGGTCAGTCTGTTACTCATATTTTTCTGCTGTCATTCATGATAGTGATCCCTGTCCCAGAACTGTAAGCTATCCACCTTGTCCCGTTGCTTTGCCTGGATGTGTGTGACTCTGTGCCTTAGTGCTTCCACTAATTGAGGTGGAGCATGGAGGGTGATGCTGGGCTACCTCAAGGGAAGTGGGATTGAGCCTGATCCCACAGTGGGGTAGGTCAGTGCAGCCCCTCGATGGACACTGGTTCACAGACCCCAGGCAGGCGTACCTGTTCCCTTCCCTCTTGGGTGCCCCCAGCCTCTCTCCCTGGGAATCCCTTTCTGCTGAGAGGGCAGGCCCTCTGAAGGAAGCTTGGCTTAGGGCCCAGGGCAGACTTCCCAGCTCTGGTCCTTAGGAGCCTGGCAGGAGCCAGCAGGCAGCCAGGACCCAGGACTGACTGGTATTTGCCAAGAGGGATGGATGGGAAAGCATCAGTGATTGACTCTTGGCCTGGGAAGTGCAGGAGTAGCTGTGTAGATAGGGTATGTTGTGTAGACATGGGATTGTGTTCTTGCTCAGCCTCCACCCCCGCTCTTGTCAGGCCTCTTTTTTTCTCTACCCCATCTCCCTACAGTCTGAGAGCCTTCCAGCACATTTTCTGGGCCAGATGATGGAATAAAGGGTAGAGTGATCTGGGATGGCCTCACAGTCCACCCTCTTCTGGCCTTATGTCCCCCTAGGTGGTCCTGGAACCCCTCTTTAAGCTGGTCCTGGGTGGGAGAGGGGGCAGAAGAAGGAGTCAGGGTTACTGCCACCTTTAGTATATTCATTAACAGTAATCGGACCTGCTGCGATCGAAGTTCTTCAGGCTTCCCTGCCTCCTGGCAAGTGGAAAGCAGGACAGTCAAGGCCTGGATGTGAAAGGACAGTAAGCCTGAGGCAGAGGAGAAGGGAGGGACACTGAAAGAGGGAGGAGGATGATCTTGGAGGAAGGAACATGTAGAAATAACTTTTGGTGGGGAAGAAAAAGTATTGGTGGCCCCCTCCTCATCTTGATCAGCCTCTCACTTCAGTATACTGGCCTTCCCTGCCTGCAGCATCTTCTAAGCCCTGCCTGACTTCAGAGCCTCCTGGTGGCCTTTGGTCATGTTTCCCAAACCACATACCCCAAGCAAGACCTGTCACTTTTGCCTCCAAAATCAGCATTTCATACGGACCACTGAGGCTCCCAAGCAGGCTTTCAGGAGGAGGAACAATTTTCATTCTATTGATTATGTATTTCCTGTAATCTATATAAGTAAAAATACAACAAACTTCTCAAGCCCATAACATTTCAGATATTACAGCTTTGCCTGAAGCCAAGTAAGAATAAGTTGATTTATAATTATATGAAGAAAAATATTAAGCATTGTTGAGTATGGCAGAGGTCATCACAGTGGCATGTCCAGGATGGACTCTGGTCTAAATGGCTCTCAAAACAGTTCCACCATCCTCACCTCTGCATCCCTGCAGTGGCTCCCACTTTCAACACCCTGCGCGCTCCCTGCCTGCATCATCTTCTAAGCCCTGCCTGACTTCAGAACCTCTTGGAGGCCTTTAGTCATGTTTCCCAAACCACATGCCTCCACCAAAATGCTCCATAGTCAAATAAGCATGGTATGTTGGTAATCTATTGCCACATTAAAAAAATAAAATTATTCCCAAACTCATAAACATAAAACAACATTCATTATCTCACAGTTTCTTAAAGTTAGAAACCAAGAAGCAGTGTGGCTGGGTAGTTCTGGCTCAGGGTTTCTTATGAGGCTTCAGTCATCTGAAGGCTTGCCTAGGGCTGGTGGATCTCGCCCAGCTGATCAGTTAGTGTCGGCTGTTGGCAGGAGGGTTCAGTTCTCCATGTGGACCTTCCGTAGGACTGCTTGAGTATCCTCACAGCACGGCAGCCAGCTTTCACCCAAGTCACTGATTGTTTAGGGCAGGAGCCATGTATCTTGTATGATCTAACCTTGGAAATCATACACTATCACTTGTGTCAGATTCTACTGGCCATAGAGACCAATCCTGACAGTGCAGGAGGGACTGTGCAAGGATCTGAGCTCCAGGAGGCAGAGGTCATGGGAACCACCTTGGAGGCTGGTTGCCACACATGAGGAGCCCTGGCCTGAGCGAGTCAAAGAGAGTCCCTTCCTGGAGGGTGTCCCAAGGATGCCCCCCACACACACACACTCATGAGTATTCCATGAAGCCACATTTCCCAGCAGTTGTGGCTATAGCACTCCTTTATAGAACGAAGGTTTGGAGCCATGAAAGAGCTAAAGAAAACGTTTTGGAAGACCTTGACCCAGAGAAGAAAGTCTAAACTCCATGGCCTGGTTTTTGTGTGCCTACATAGTCTAGCACTTCCAATACAAACCTTTTCTCTCCTCAGTTCACACTTTGAAACCTGTGGTCCAGTGACACTCACACCTATAGCCATTTCTCATGCTATTAGTTCTGCCCTTTTGCCTTCTGCCCTTGTTGAGCTCCTATTCACTCCTCAAAGACCAGAGGGAAAGCCACCATCTCTGTGAAGTCTTCCCTTCCTCTGACACAGACTTAATTTTTTTCTTCCTTAATTTTATTGTTTTTTATGTAGGAACATCTCTTAGGGGGTACCCACCACTCTGTCTCATGTTGAGTAAGCTCTCTGTATCTGTCTTCTCTCCCTTTCCAGAAGTTTCAGTCTGGCCCCTCATGGTGCCATGTGGCCAGTGCTTAATACATCATTGGGGCTCAGGAAATGTTTGGTAAATAGGGCCTTGGTTCTCCTACTTGTGCTCTAACCCTGGCTTTGTTTCTGGGGCTGGTTTCTGATGAGCCAGGAGAAAGCAAGACCAGACCACAAGGTGCTTCTGCCCAAGGGAGCCAGTGGTGTCTTTCTTAAAGTGTGGAGGCAGGTTCCCCTACACCTGAGGAGGACTCTTCCACCTTCAGCCATAGCCGAGAGTCCAAGCTGGGCAGTCTAGTGCCCTGAGCCAGTTCAGTGTCTCTGAGTGTCTGATGGACTTCATCTCCCAGGCAATGCCATAGGCTCATGCACACAGCCGTGAACTAGGGTACAGTGAGGTATTCATTCCAAAACCTCCCAGCTGCCCCTTGAGGCCCTAAAGGGCAGTCACAGGAGCCTCAGGTCAGTAAGAAGTGTTGCTCAGATCAATAAGATGTGTTCATTTGGTTTTAGGGACCAGCTTCCAAGATGTAGGGCCCAGAGAAAAGTCTAGGAAGGAGTCTGCCGGGGATACCCCCCGATGTGCCGCTTATGTCCACGGGAGCAGGTTCAGCGATCTCAGCACTGGGAGGCCTCTGTCTGGAACTGAGATGGCCCGTCAAGGGCGGCACGGGCCCGTCCAGTAACTCTTGTCATGGCAGAGCCGAGTCCTGGTCAGAGGTGATGGGTGTCTTTCTGAAGGGCACTCACTTCCGGTGGTTTCCAGCAGCTTTCCTCCCCACAGTGGTGTGGGCCTGGCACGAGCACACTTTGAGAAGCAGCCCCCTTCCAACCTCAGGAAATCCAACTTCTTCCACTTCGTGCTGGCCATGTATGACCGGCAGGGGCAGCCGGTGGAGGTGGAGCGCACGGCCTTCATCGACTTTGTGGAGAAGGACCGAGTGAGAGGCTTGTGGGCTCACCGGGAAGGAAGGGGGTGGGATGGTGGGGGTGCGGGTTTTCAGGGAACCCCTTCCCACTGGAACAGATGACGGAAAGGCCTTGGAGGAGTGGAGAAGGGGGTGGTGAACGGATGGGAGAGGAGAGGGAGGAGGTTTGGGTGGGGGAGAGGGGGGAAGGGGAGTGACTTTAGGATCCCTGGGAGCACCGAGCATCCTCCCTATCTTGTCCCTGCAGGAGCCTGGGGCGGAAAAGACAAACAACGGGATCCATTACCGCCTCCGGCTGGTATATAACAACGGTAAGTAGAGCCCACCACCCATGGGGTACCACAGCACCATGTGACACATGGTACCCCACTGTCAGAGTGGAGGGGGCCTGGCTCCAGCTGGGAAAGGTGTGGAGTATGTTGTCATCAGAAGCCACAGGAGCTCCCTAAATAACAGACCTCTCTGCCTTCCCACCCTCAGGTCTTCGGACCGAACAGGATCTCTATGTGCGTCTCATCGACTCCATGTCCAAGCAGGTGAGCCAGTCACCATCTCCCCTGAGATCTGAACAAGCATCTTTGTCCCTGCCTCCGCATCCCCCGTGTGCTTTATCCTCCCCAGTCTAGCTCCCCACTGTCCACAGGAGGAAGATGTGTGGCTTTTGTCCTCTAGACAAGAAAAAGACATTTTCACGAAGACTTTGCTCTTGGGTCCTGTTATCTAGAAGTTCAGCCTAGATGGAGGTTCAGGTGGGTTTATTGAGGAAGAGGGAAGAAGATCTCAGAAGGGGACTGGGGAGAAGCAAGACAGAGCAGGGGCTGCTCAGCAGCTGTGGTGTCAGCTGGAGTCTAGCTTCAGCCTGATCTGCTAGAGGAGGAACGGCACCAAGTCGTTGCCCCTTGAGGGAAGGAGGCCAAGATTCTGTCCCCTGTATTGGTTAGTTACTGGCTGGGGACCACTCCCAAGGGAAGTATGTAACCTTCCAGACATTTTCAGGGGAAGCAGCTCCTATCTGTTGAGAGCAGTTCTCAAGAGAAAGCCCTTAGCAGCTAACACAGGGATGGGTGCCTTGGTCCAGCACTGGGTGGGGCCCCAGAGCTTCCAATACTGGCCCTCAGCACCTTGCTGATTTGAAAAGACAAAAGGAGGAGGCTCGGGGCCAGCCAGAGGAGCGCGGGACAACTGAAACCGGAGTCAGCCCTATGGACTGTGCAGCCTTAGGCTTTTCCGAACTCTGTGTGCTGGTAAGGAACAGGGCTGAGTCTCAGATGTGAAAATCAGGGGCCTGAACTGGAGGTGGAGGCTTGGGCTTTCCCACACAGACAGGCTTCCAGCAGCCTCTACCCAATCCCAGGGAAGAGGAAGAAGTGGTGCGTTTCTAGGATGCCTGTGGTCACTATGGTCTGGGAGGCAGACTGGGAAGTGGCAAAGTGGGATTGTATGGCCGAGAAGCATGGAAGAAGTTGGAGACTGTCCACAGAGAAAGAGACCCACAAATGAGGGATGGCTGGGAGGCCCAGACGTTTTAAGTTGGAAGCCAAATGTGCGTTCGGGAAGCTTACTCCTTGCTTCAAGGCCAAGGAGAGGCTGGAGACTGGTTGAGGGGTCAGGGGTTGATTCAACAGTCCCAGAGGAAGCCTCTGGCCTGGCCTGCAGAGATGACCAGGATGGGGAGCGCAGCCGAGGAGCTGGCGGGAGAGCCTGGAGGGACGATGCTTGTAAGAACCGTGGAGGCTGGAGCATGTGCCTGGTCTTGGTCAGGGTGGTCGGTGGACCTCCCTGCCCCAGGGCAGAACTGTCTCCAGAAAGTGCTGCCTGTGGACGGACAGACTCTGTAGACCTCACCCCATTCTTGCCCATTCTGATGGCGGTCCCGGTTTGGGAAGCTCAGTTCCCAGCTCCTGCTTTGCACTCCTGGGCCCCCAGAGAGAGTTGGAGGGCATACTCTTCTCTGGGAGGAGGGCCCACCTGCCCCTCATCTGGCCTCGAGAGGAGCCTCCTTCCCCCCAAGCTCATGCACTTCTCCTTCCCCAGGCCATCATCTACGAGGGGCAGGACAAGAACCCCGAAATGTGCCGTGTGCTGCTCACTCATGAGATCATGTGCAGGTGAGAAGGGCTGGGGCGCTGGCACTGGCCTCTTGGCCCAACCCCCTCCCCACTGATCCCCAGGGAAGCCTGGTGGGGGGAGGTGATGAGGAAAGAGTGAGGTCCCTGGGCACAGTGCTGGCTGAGGAGAGGGTCCTTGAGGCCCCATTAGCCTGGCCTGTTTATGTGGCTTCTCTGACTGTTTTTTGCAAGAAAGGCCTCCTGCTGCTACTGGGAAGCTTAACTAATAAAGCTCTGGAGAGGGCTCGCTGGGAGGTGGGGGCAGGGCCTGGGCCTCTTGGATTAGCTCCAGAGCCGAAGGAGGAAACTTTTCTGCCTCTTCTGTGACCTTCAGGGCACCCCCTGGGCAGACAGGATGGGGAAGGAGGAGCACGGCTCTTGGTTCCCCTTCCCCATTACCCCAGATCTTGGTGTTTCTAGACAAGGGCTCCCCAGGATGTGTCAGTCGGACAAGGTCGTCCTAAGCAACTCCTCACACATGGAAAAGAAAATAGTGTTCAGAAATCTCGTTGGAACAGTGGCTACCCTTGGGAAAGGCAGTGACCAGGATGGGGCTTCTGGGATGCTGGTCACATGGTATTTCTTGGTCTGGTTACATGGGTGAGCTCACTTTGTGAAAATTCATGTGATGCATGCTTCCAATTGGAGCTCTTTTCTATATGTATTAAAAGGGTACAGAGAGAGTAGATGGTCAGCATTCCACCCTTTCCTGGATCTTCCAGGAGCAGCACGCCTTGGGGACAAGGGTTTCCTGGCCAGCCTTATCCCCAGGGCTGGGTTCTGGGAGTGAGCCCTTCTAGCCCAGGGATTCCACACTCAGAGACCGGACATCAGCTTCCTCACCCCAGAGCCACACACACACACATACACACACGCGCGCACACAAACACACCCCACACTAATCTCCCTCTCCTTCTTTCCTCCTTCCCTCCCTCCTCACCCTTCCTTCAGCCGATGCTGTGACCGGAAGAGCTGTGGCAACCGGAATGAGACGCCCTCAGACCCCGTCATCATTGACAGGTACAGGCCAGGGGAGGAGGGCCTGGCAGCTTGCAAGGTCAGGGCAGGCTGGAACCAGCCACAGAGCACAGTGCCTCCCACCACCCCTTGGTGGCTCTGAGCAAGAGTAACGGTCCCCAGAGTGAAGCCCCTGCTGGCAGACTTTCTGAGGCTGGACTTAGGAGTTGTGCTTCCTGAGGGGAGAAGCCAGAGAGGACAGGGGTGGGAGGTGGTAGAGGATGCCACGGCCGGAGGGGCTAACAGGGAGTGGCAGGAAAAGTGGGCTCTGGTCCTGGTGCCTCCTCTAACTTCTCTGTTCATTTCCTTTGTTAGAAAAATACGGAAATACTTGGTGAGTTTCAGTCATAGGATTGTAGAGGCGATGCATGTGAAAATGCATTCTTTCTTTCTGAATAGGAAATATATATATAAGGTACAAAATTCAAAAGATAACACAGAAGAGTAAATAATGAAAAGTAAGTCTGCCCTACCCCTACGTATAGCATATTGTACACAATCTTTTGTATTTAATACTTACCTTTTTAATTTGTAACAATATATTAATATCTTAGAACTCATTCCATATTGGAACTAAACCCTGCCTTGTTTTCCTTTTAATAGATAAATCATTCACAGTGTACTAAAATTCAACTTTAAAAGGGTTGACAGCAAAGTCTTCCACCTCTGCCTCTGACTCATCCATTGCCCTCCAAATAAGCAAGCATTGTCACCAGCCTCATGAGTATCCTTCCTGAGGTAGCCTGTGCAAGAAAATACAGACACAAACAATCTCCGCATTCTTTTTTTGCTACTGCAAAATATTCCATTGTATGGATGGACCATAATTTCTTTAGTGTCTATTGCTGACATTTTGGCTGTTTTCATTCTTCTTCAGGGATAAAATATGCTGTAGTGAATTACTTTGTCCATGTGTCACTAAGCACATGTGTGCATTTATATGAAGGATATTACTAGAAGCAGAATTTCTGGGTCAAAGGAGATGTACATTTGTACTTTTGATAGTTATTGCCAATTTGTCCTCAGTAGCAATTATACCAATTGATATTCATACCAGCTATTTTGAGAATGCCTGTTGCTGTAGTCTAGAGATGCAGAACCAGCAAAGGAGACTAAGAAGCAGCTGCAGTAAAGTGGAAGAAAAGTCAGGGGAATAGAGTCCCAGAAGCCCAGCTAGAAAAATTTTCCCCAAAGAAGGCTATAGTCAACTGCATCAAATGCTGCTCATGGAGATGATAAAAATAATAAGAATTAACCATTAGATTTAGCAATGTGGGGGACACTGGTGACCTCAACAGGAGCTATTTTGGTGGCAAAAGGGGCAGAATTCTGATAGGAGTATGTCTAAAAGAGAATGAGAGGAGACGCTAGAGACAGTGACCAGAGGAACTCTGGACTTTCACCCTAAAGGGATCAAAGAAACGGGGTGGTGGCAGGAACACAGTGTAAGGCTAAGAAAAAAATATAGCTTGTTCAGATGCTAATGACAAAAATCCAGTAGGAAATGGAAAATTATGATGCAAGAGTTAGAAGGGAGAATCGCTGAAGCAATGTCCTCTAGTCAGCAAAGGGCATGGTGTCTCCTGCATAGGTGGAGGACTGGTTTTACCTGGGAGCACAGTTATCCATGGAGACAGCAGGGAAGACAGAGAATCTGGGCATGGAAGTGGGTAAATGGATATATCCAACATAGGAGCTTGCAGACGTCCTTTTTCTCAGTGAAATAGGAAACAAGGTCAACACTTGAGGGTGAGGATGGAGAGGGAGACACTAGGGCATGAAATAGTTGTTCAGGAGAGTGAAGGGACTATGGAAATGTTCTGTGATTGACAAGTGGCACTAAGGGCCCACCTGAGATATGTTCATAAATTTATTTATTTATTTAAAAAATTTATTCACTTTGGGCCTCACCACACAGCTTGTGGGATCTTAGTTCCCCAACCAGTGGCTGAACGTGGGGCCATGACAGTGAAAGCACCGAGTCCTAACCACTGGATCACCAGGGAATTCCCTATGGTCATGAATTTTTTATTTGTTCATTTATATTTATTTTTGGTTGCACTGGGTCTTTGTTGCTGCATGCAGGCTTTCTCTAGTTGTGGAGAGCAGGGTCTATTCTCTCGTGGTGCACAGGCTTCTCATTGCAGTGGCTTCTCTTGTTGTAGAACACGGGCTTTGGTAGTTGCTGGAGCGGGCTCAGTAGCTGCGACTTGCTGGCTCTAGAGCATGCAGGCTTCAGTAGTTGTGGCACATGGGCTCAGTGGTTGCAGCGCCCAGGTTTAGTTGCTCCCTTGCATGTGGAATAGTCCCAGACCAGGGACTGAACCCATGTCCCCTGCATTGGCAGGTGGATTCCTATCCGTTGCACCCCTAGAGAAGTCCTGTGGTCATAAATTCAGTGAGCAATTTCCCCAGCTCTGCTGAGCCACAGGAGTGCAGGTGCAGAACAGGTGAGTGGTTGCATATAGCCAGAGTTAGAAGTTTGCTATGTGAATACAATGAAAGGAGAGGGCAAGAGAGTAAAAAGTGTAAGCAAAGAGTATTTACAAAAATAGAACAAGGAATCTAAGCTCACAAAGGAGAGGAGTATGGGTGAGTGAAGAGAAAGGATGATGAATGGAGCATAGGTTCTGATGGGACCAAAGAATTATTGGAGTTGAGGTACTAGAAGGGGGTGGAGCTGGTGGTTAAGGAGTGGGTTGCCTGTAGGTAGGATTATTTGGAAATTGTGTTTATTGGTGATGTGTGGCCAGGGGAGTGTAGAGACAAGTTCAGTAGAGGAGAGATACAAAAAGAATAGAGAGAAGAATCTGTTGGAAGAATTATGTATTTACCTTGACACTGAAATCACCAGGAATTATGATTGATTTTAACGATTCTTTATAGATCCTATAGATCCTAGATACTGATCATTTGTCATAAGTAGTTGCCTAACTATGTTTTCCAAAGTAGTGGTACCATTTTATGTTTCCCACCAGCAGTGTATGAGAGTTGTAATTCCTCTACATTCTCATCAGCATAAGAATTATCTCTCTTTTTAACGTTACCCATTCTAATAGATGTATAGTCATATCTCATTATGGTTTTAATTTGCATATCCCTAATGACTAATGATGTTGAACATCTTTCCATGTGCTTATTTGCCGTTCATTTTTTTTTTTTTTGGTGAAGTATTTGGGTTATTTTTTAATTACTGAGTGGGAGTTCTTTATATACTGTGGAAAAAATTAGATAAATATTTTACAAAAAATTTTTCCCAGACTTCCCCAGTGGTCCAGTGGTTAAGAATCCTCCTGCCAATGCAGGGAATGTGAGTTCGATCCCTGGTCTGGGAAGATTCCACATGCTGCAGGGCATCTAAGCCCATGCACCACAGCTACTGAACCTGTGTGCCTCAACCAATGAATCCGGTGCATCTGAGAGCCCCATGTTCTACAACGAGAAGCCACCACAATAAGAAGCCCACATACTGCAACTAGAGAGTAGCCCGTGCTGGCCATATGCAGCAATGAAAACTCAGTGCAGCCAAAGATAAATTAATTTTTTAAAATTTCCCAATCCATAACTAGTCTTTTCATTCTCTTATCAGTTTTTTTTTTAAGTTAGTTAATGAATTAATTTTTGGCTGTGCTGGGCTTTCATTACTGCCCAGGTTTTTCTTTAGTTGCAGCAAGCAGGGGTTCTTCTCAAGTTGGGGTGTGCAGGCTTCTCATTGCAGTGGCTTCTCTTGCTGCAGAGTACGGGCTGTAAGGGGTGTGGGCTTCAGTAGTTGTGGCACGTGGACTCAGTAGTTGAGGTTCTGGGGCTCTAGAGCACAGGCTCAGGAGTTGTGGCACACTAGCTTAGTTGCTCCATGGCATGAGAGATCTTCCTGGATCAGGGATTGAACCCATGTCTCCTGCATTGGCAGATGGATTCTTTACCAGTGAGCCATCAGGGAAGCCCTCTTAACAGTGTTTTTGGAAAACACAGGTCTTTAATTTTGATAAGGTCCAATTTATACATTTTTTCCTCTGTGTATTGTGTTTTTGTTGTCATAGCTAAAAATCTTCAGCTAGGTCACAGAAAAGTTCCCCTTTCTTCTATAAGTTTTGTTGCTTTGGGTTTTTTGTTTAGGTGTAGGATCCACTTTGAGTTAATTTTTGTAGATATGAGAGGTATAGTATCAAGACATTTTGTTGTTTTGTTTTTATATATATATATATATATATATATATATATTCATATTCACTTGTTCTGGTACTATTTCTTTTAAACTCTGTAAAAAAAAATCAATTGTTTATTTATATGTGGAGTTATTTCTGGACTCTCTATTCTGTTCCATCAATTCCTTACTCTATCTTTTATGCTAATACTACACTGTTTTGATTACTGTTACTTTATAATAATTCTTAAAATAAGGTAATATAAGTCCTCCAACTTTGTTTCTTCATTGCAACTTTTTCCTTTGCATTTCTATATGAATTTGGGCATCAACTTGTTAATTTCCACAAAAAATCCCATTGAGCTGTTGATTGGTACTACTTTGAATCTAAAAAACCAATTTGGAGAAAATGACATCTTAACAATATTGAGTCTTCCAACCAATGAACATTTTCCTCAATCTCTCTCATCAATATTTTATAGTATTTAGAGTACAGATCTTTCACATCGCTTGTTCAGACTTATCCCTTATTATTTGTTTGTTTTGATGCTATTGTAAATGCTATTTTAAGTTTCAATTTCCAATGGTTTATTTATGGCACACATAAATATGAATTTTTATGTAAGTGATTCTGTAGTCTGCAGCCTTGCTAAACTCACTCTTTAGTTCTAGTAGCTTTTTAAAGAGTCCAACAGATTATCTTTATAGACAACATGTCATCTGCAAATAAAGACACTTTTATTTATTTATTTCCAATATGGATGCCTTTTATTTATCTTTCTTGCCTGATTGTACTGGTTAGAACTTCCAGTACAGTGTTGATAGTAGCAGTGGAAAGGAAGGATATTTATCTTGCTCC